AATAGATATAATCTTTTTAACTTAATTATGTTAATCTTTTTATTGTTAAATAATTTTTAACTAACATTGAAATGAGAATGTATCAAACTATATAAACAATTCATATATTACAACATTAAATAATGATAAAACATTAAGTGAAAAAATATATATATCTAATTGATAATTTTAGCTATATAGGTACAACTAATTCAAGGTAAGATCTTCATACACAAAAAGAGGTATTTCAAGTGTAGGGTCTAATAACTCTAAAAAACACACATTCACAATTTACTCCGAATATACTTGGGTAACTTTGATCATCTTTTGTTCAACTCCTACCTTGTCAAAGCTCCAGACCAATCGGGAGTACTTATCAAAGACACTCCAATGCTGAAGTTAGTAATTAGTCGGGATGATGGTCAAAGCAAAGTCTTAAGACCTAATCTCAGTCCATATTACACATTAATCAATACTTACTCTTAAAATTGGTTTGCATAATCTCGAAAGAAATACCTTGCTGTTAAAAATGTTCATTCAACCTTTAACCATGCCCGGACGAACGACTCATGTCTTACATTTATCCAAATTCAAAATTTCAAACATACACAACTGATTGTGAGGCAGCCCAACCATACAATATAAGAGACATAGGTTAGTAATAGTATCTCCTATGCAAAAGTTATAATAAATGTTCTAAAAATTTAATATTGTACCTTGTATAAAACATTTTTATTAAAACACAATGTAATTAACATGTTGATGATGCTAAAATTAAGAATGGATTATAAAAGTGAGTCTTGAGTATAAGAAACAAATTTTACAAATTTTCCAAAATTAACATTATATTTTGAGAGCACCAATTTTAGAGGGAATTAATTTTCCAAACTTTAACTATAACATTGTAAATTTTCATAAAACCTCAATCTCATGCGAAGCTTGTAAGAATTGCTTGCAAACTTAAAAGTTATGTACCCTTTTAATCCCTTATAAGATTCTTACATTATAATTTTTTTAAGGTAAGTCTCTTTAATTTTAATTTTAGGTGAGAACTATTCTATACCAATATAGTCTTACAATAAATAGAAAGGCTAAATTTTATATATTTGCCTCAATTGTGGAATACAACTGTAATAAAATAATCTAATACAAAAATAAATAATATTTTAAATATGATGATGACTTGAATATTATATATAAATTTGAAGTCAAAGTATACAACAAATAAATATTTTAATAAAAAAGAAAACCACTCCTTCCATTCAAGATCTTAAAAACAATTACTTAATACAATTTATATTTTTTTTTATAATGAAGCCAATAACTTTAAGTTCAATTACTTAATATCACTAAATAAGTTTTTTTTAGAAGAGAGGTTGAAATGAGTTCTAATTCACAAGCTAAAACTTTCACTGTATACTCGAATTGGTTGGATTGAAACATTTTCAATTTTTTTGAATGTAAATTAAACTGAATCCTATAAACTTAACCCCCGTATTAAAGTGGTTCGAATCATTATTGAAAGTGAGTTGATTCATAATCTATCAACAACAATACTTTATTAATATTTTTACCATTTTTTATAAATATTTTATTATAATTATTTAATTATTTTAATTATTTAAGTTTAAAATTTAATTTTTTAAATACTAAAATTAATATTTAATTTATGTGTTTGTCATGTTATATATATATTAATACTTTAATTTTTGACTATTATCCTTTTAATAATATTTGAATAATTAGATGAATATTTTAATTTTATTATTATAAAACTAATAATTAGAGTCAATTCATTCTCATTATACTATAATAAATATACAAAATAGATTATAAAAGTAAAATATTTATAAGTGATCAAATTCATTAATCTAATTACATCCATCACAAATTGTACATGGAATCAGATTTTTAACATACAAAAAGTAAATCGAGTTAAATTAATTATTTTAACTCAACTTATAGTAAGAGAATATGTGTGAATTGGATTAACTCATTATGATAGTCCTATATTTTTTCTTAGCAATGATTGGTTGAGAAGTAATTATTCTCTTTTATATATTATTCATCTTGTACGAATTTTAAGTAACACATACTCCAATCACATGACCTTATGGAAAGAAAATGATCTGAGAAGGGAAAAGCATTGGTCCTTCCAATAATTAGTAATTTCTTGTTTCATAATTAGCTTTCAATAATTCATATATGCAATGAAAACAAAGCAGATAGAAATTTGGGCAAAGTCTTGTACTGACAGAGCCAATGCTACCTTAAAGTCACCAACTTTTCTTCACATTCACGTCAAATGAAACACTTTCTAACATTCACACCAATATCTCAATTACCTAATTCACCTTTAAAATATTATTTCATTTCTCCATAAAACTCAAACATACTTTTCATACAGATCAAAGTTCCTCTCGTGCAAACGTTTCTATAAGTTATTCAGAAAATAAAGAAATAAAAAAAAATTGAATTAATTTTCCATAAATCAAAATAAAATTATACACGAGATCATTTGTACAATTCTAATATAATTTTTCTAAATTTTTATCTTTAATTTATTAAAAAAAAGGTTATTTCTTTTTTTGTTACCTTTTTCTCCTAAATTTATTAAAAAAAGTTATCAAACCAGGTAACGAAAATTATTTTACTCAAACCAAATTAAACAAAAATAAGTGCAGCATTCCCACAAACGCTTTACGAATGAGGACTAAACTATATTGATTTCCTCCCCTTTTTCCATTCTTTATTAGAGAGATATTTACGTCATTATATATACACATTCTTCTTTTCTTTAACTATTTATACAATAAATCAAGACAAAAATAATTAAACTTTTTTTTCATTTACTTAAATCTTCAAAAGTCAACTCTTTCTATTACTTTTCTTCCCTTTTTCTTTTTCTTTACTTTTTTTTCTTTAAATTTTTACTGATCCAAACTCACCCTACAAAAATCATTACTTCCTTTAATCTTCTTTAATGGCCATTTGAACCGAAAAATTCCTTCTACAAACAGTCTTCAAATTTGTGAAAAATAGAATTTGGAAACAGAAAACAAACACATGAGACACAGTCATGGTTGTCAAATTCGAACGAGTTTATGTTTCTAGTTGACTTTCTAAGGCTGTCAAACTCAAACTAGTCAACTCAAAAACAAGCTCGTTTTCTTTGCACCAAATAAAGCTAGATTATTCTGCAGTGCTCAACACATAAAACTAATACTAGAGTTACAAATTATTGCAACTACTGACCAAAATTTCAAATAGAAATAAACAGAATGTTAACACATCCATGCACAACAGTTGCCTGAAAAGTTATTCATCGCATGCTATACTTAATAAAACTCCAACCCCACACCCCAACCAAAAAAAGGAGCTCTTTTAGGTAGCAATGTCAGGTTCACCCTGAGGGGGCCTTACCATGAAGTGCACTAAGTTTCTACATTAAAACTTTAACTCCAATGTCAATGCAATGATACTAAGCTGTAATCCTAAACCGGCCCTTGGCTATTCTTCGAGCAATTACTTTTCTGCCACCCTTGGTCGCTTTCCTGCTCATGTAATACAAAAAATATGTCATCTACACGGCATACCTCTGTTTCAGAGATTACAGACGCAAGTTTGCATATAAGCCAGACATAAATTTCCTCAGTTCTATTCATTTAGCCAGACAACTTCATACTGGATCTGAAAGAGGCTCGTGACAAATTTACTCCATGATTAAGGACAAGTTACACATTAATATATGGATAGAGATAAAACTATATGGGGTATATTTTAAACAAACTATGTACTTTAGTAACTTCATATAAACTGATCTTATCAATCCAATGGCTGAATTATAATCATATATTCCTTTTTATTATTTCTGCGAATTTTGTGAAAAATGGACCAAAACAAGAAAATTATCAAATTATTCCATTTTTATACATTCAGAAAGTAGACATTACATCAATTTTAATGTATGTAAATAAGGTATGAAATGATTTTAGAATAATATAACTCGTACGTAGATATGATCATGATCAATGTGAAAGAAACTCTAATTTGACGGTGAGTTTTTATATAAAATTATTCAATTAGAGGTTAATGCATGGTGAGACAGTTGACGTCAGTTGCAACAATTCGACATCTCTTCTAATTGAATCAAGTTACTCCAAAAGTAACTTTGGGTAAAGTTACTCTTTCCATTCAATGAAATCTTCTATATATTAAATATTAAAATTCAATATTCAACTTATTAAATATTGCCTTTAACATAGCCTAATGTCATCATGGGATTCATATATCACTCCTCACCTAAAGGTAGTACAAGGCTTTGTTATTGCGTTCTAACTGTTGAATATTTCGATATCATTTCAACGATCATAGACACTAAATTTTAGATAAACCAAACATTTGTTGCTAAGTAATCAAAATGTCAACATTTATTTATATTTTTAAAAAGTATACTAATATCTGTTAAATTGAATTTATTCAAAAGTATTAATAGTTTTAAATTTTTATAAAAATCAACAGACTTAATCTATTTAAAACATTTAATCAACTGCTGAATTAGTGAAATTTAATATATAGAAAGAATTACTGAATGGAATAGCGCTAAGTTATTCCTTCAGTAACCCAATTCTCTCCTATATACAAGAAAAGGAAGCAATGGTCTTTGGGCCATCAAGGAAGCATTTCACATGCCACTTTGCCTGGCCATAGTCTAAAATGAGACACCCATTTATATACCAAAAACAAAGCAACCACAATCTAGAGAGACTGGCAATCTGTTCATTGAATGCTTCATTAATCAATTGCATATTGCCACATTCAACAAAACAATCTGTTCAAAATTCAGGCATAGGGTCACGCTTTATGAATCTTTTTTGTCATGTCCATGTTATCTATTACCCCAACAAGCCAACAGACCAAGTGAAAGTAATAGAAAGTATAATGCGTAAGAACAATCGATCGCCTCATTCCTTCAAATCATCTACACAAATTAGGCCTTTGCATAGTTATTATCTAGTTGAGTAAGCTGAAGAACGGAAACACTACAAGAGTTCTAAAATTGAACAAGTTTGACATCATGTAGAAGAAAAGGAAGGGTTAACCACTAACAAGTAACATTTTCTACTTTCTCTTCTCATTACGAAGGAACATATAACCAAAAAGATGAGTGATTTACCGAGCAAAGAATCCATGGTTCCTCTTTCGTTTAATGAGACTAGGTTGAAACGTCCTTTTGGGGAACAAAAGCATGGGCTCATCTGATGAAGGAGCATCCCCTGCAGAATAATCATAAATTCAGAATAAAAAGTACCTGGGTGGAGTTCAAATGCTTAAAATTTGATAAAACACCATCTTCTCATGCAATAGCTGATACATGATTATATTTTGTGATTGAAAAATCGTAACATATATCACAACACAGTGCACTTAAAAATTAATTTTTGCCTTCCAGAGGCATTATCTTTTCTTCAATGTCACATCTCACAATAGTGTAATTAATCACATTAACATTATATACACAGATACACAGAGATAGATAGATAGAGAGAGAGAGAGAGAGAGAGAGAGAGAGAGAGAGAGAGAGAGAGAGAGAGAGCGATCAATTGCAAGAAAATAGGTGGAAAGTAACAAAATTCCATTGAAAATGAAATGCAATGAAGAGTGTAGTGAGAGTAAGTGTACCGTGAGGTAAGAAGAAGCGGAGAGAGGGGAGGCCACAGGGGTAGAGAAAGCCTTGTTTGTGGGGAAATTCGATGTCGTTTTGGGGAGAAATGGCAGAGGGGAGCCTAGAGAGAGAAGGGAAGAGGAAATGAGATTGAAGTTGAGGGGTATTGGAATGAAGAGGAAGCGATTTGGAAAGGCGATTCAACAAGGAAGCCCCACTTCTGAGAACGCTATTCGACGCCATTGTTGGTTTCACTCAAAGCTTTGCTTCATAAACCCTAACCTAACCCAACCTAAGCAATGCGCCAACACCAAACACCAACCTCCATCTCCATGGATCGGAATTTTGCCTCTTTTCAATTTGGGTTTTTTCACCCGACCCGGAACGTCTTTTTCCACTTTTTTTTTTTTTTAAATTTTATCTTTATTTATTATTTTTTATTTTTGTGACTGCATGTTTAATGTGTAAAAACAAATCATAAAAATAGAAACTGGAATTAGTGACTACGGTGTTTATTGTTTGTCTAACATTCAACCAGAATGTTTTAAATCTATAAAATATTGCAAATAGTTCAATTTCTTTTTATGTTTTTATTAAAACTCAGCTTAACCAAACCATAGTCCATAATATATTTATAATAATTTGTTAACATATAATTGAAAATTTATATATAAAATATAGTTTTATTCCTCAAAATAGATTTTTTTGGGTCTTTAATTTTTTTCACTTTGATTCCTGTAAAAAGAGAATTGATTTTGTTCCTACTATTTTATTTTAACTCTCCTAAAATGTTCATTTTGTATCCTTACAATACTAAATAATTTATTTTTAGTTCCTGTCAAATATTTTTAATAGGATTAATTTAACAAAAAAAATTATAGAATCTATAAAATAAATATTTTTAGGAGTTAAAATAAATTCACAAGGATCAAAATAAAAATAAACCAAAAATCTAATAAAAGTAACCTTTAAACACCAAAAGAAAATACATGAATATACTCGATCGACAAAGAATACTTATGACTGAATTTAATAACATTGATATTTAAAAATTCATGTACTTTACACATTTTAGTCATACTGAATTATGAATTATGACATTAGTATTATATGACTAAATAACAATAAATATTTTCATCAGAAGTTTGTAACAATTATCATCATGCGCGAACTTTTACTCTGCTACCTGGATTTGTGTGGTAACTTTTCAAGGATATATTTTAACTAAATTAATTATTAAATTCTTTCTTATCTTATTAGTTGTCAAATTATAAATAGTTTTGAAAGTGATGCAATAACCAATCTAGTACACAGGAATACATACTTCAACCAATTTCTTTTAACAAAATATTTTGAGAGGTTGAAATCCAATCCATACAGGCTGCTTAACATCCGACCATAGTCTAAAATACCATCAAACCAAGCTTAAAACTATATTTCAAACAACAACTTAGCGAAAAATTACGATGAGAAGTGCACCAGCGTTTTGCTAATAGTTTTGAAGTTACAAACAGAAGAAATGGCATTTTCAAAATATGCCTAGTGGATTACAGGAAGCAAATAATGAATTTGTTTCACGTCAGAAATGGCTAGAGACAAGAAGAAATGAAACAATGAAGAGGGAATACAGAACATCTTACACAAACGAACAGATTGATATCAATTATAGAATACGTGTGACTGCCGCTTCTGCTCCACCTTTACAACAGGAAGAACCATCATAAATCTCAAATGTACATAATCACGCTGAAGCTGAACTCCGTTTGAGGCTATTGTTCACCAGGAAGTACAGATGAAAGCCAATCAGAAGCTGCCATTTGAATATCCGTCTCAGTATGAGGAGACAGAGAGAGAGGAGTAACTGCAACCTGATCATTAAAATCAGATACAAGGTTCATTCAGAGGAGAAAAATGAACTTGATTGCACATATAGTAACAGATTAACCGCCAGATGAAGATGTTTATTGTATGCGTGCGGTCCTTAAGAACATAAAATATTATTAGTTGAAAAAGTTAATGATACAGTTCACATTAGAAAACATGCCAAAAGATAATTTAGTTAGCCAACTTACATATCCAGTTTCAAGTGCTCTGTAATCCAGATCATCATCTATATCTTCCTGCTGTTTATCCAAAAACTGCAGATAGAAGTATAGTATAGCTAAGTTCACATCCAGGAACAATTCAAATGATTAACCATCATTCAAATGTAACATAGAAAGCACTGAATATATATAATACATAATTTCAGTCATTTTTTAAAAAGAAAAATCTTCGCACCAATGGAAAAATTGATCAACTTGAGCTATTAGAAGTATGGTTTCAAAAATTATCATAAATGAGACAAATATTGACTGGTTATTCATGGAGAGGATTGCCATTCTTATGGATTCAGAATCAAGATACATCAAAATAAAGTCGAATCCTTCTCAAGCAGTACAGAAGTCCATCTTCCATTCAAATGAACAGTGTCAATAAATTATACTACTCATACTTTTGAAGACCATCTAGCTAAAACACTATGCGGAAAGTGGAAAGTTTAACCACAAGGAGTCAAATAACTTTTTAGAAAATATTTATATGTCGAGGACTCATTTGTCATTGTTTCAGTGACATAATGAAACTGAGTTTGATCACTACTTAAAAAGACAAGTCTTACCTAGGAGCTCTCTACCTTAATATACTAGGATGGAAGAAAACAAACTGAATCAAGTACCCAATAATGCAAAATATTGTCAAGGATATTTTGGTCATTCCAATTTGACTGTTGCTTCAGAATTTGCTATTGGTAAAGGAGGCTGGTTTAGTCCCCGTCACTCTAGCTTTTTGTTAGAATACTTTGGAGGTACTTTGGTATGCACAAAGCTGGTTAAAACGAGCATAAGTATGAATTATACACCACTCTACTCATTTAATTAATTATATCTGTAGTCATTATTTTATTTTAATTAAATAGTGTCACTTAATATCCTTTTATTTTCAAATTCTAATCACTGTTATTTTAATTTAACAACTTATAACTACTGGTGTAAATAATACTTTTCGGCATATCTTGAAGAATACTAATACAAGCCTTACAAGTTTATGAATTGGTTGTTCCAGAAATTTATCCATTAATGGCACGCTATTGAAACCCTACATTGCATATTGTATGTATTGCAAGACGTGTGGAAAGCATTGGGGTAAATCTAGAGGATGCATTGCAATATCAGGAAAGAGGGAGGGAATGGGTAAGTAATCAATTGGATACTTTTTGGGTGATTGTGCCATATGGTAGAGAAGTATAACTATATAACACTGTTATTTACTTTTCTTTTCCAACATTTCCTGCATTTTTCCTACTGTAATCAGAACTCTTTGTATGAATTTTCAACATAATTCCTAATTTCCTATGGTGAGTTTCAGTTCAAACCACATTATTCACATTCTGATTTTACTAGATTGTCAAAAAGAAACCACAAAAATACCATAGAATTTTCCATTTAACTAGATTTAGGTATTATAGGGGGACACATAGGGTATGGATATGTGCATGAATATTAGAGTTGAGGGATATAATTTATAAATAATCCGGTACCCTCCCACTACATTCCCATCCTTGTACCAACCCACCCCTTTTATTTTCATTTTTAGGAAAGTTGGAAATGAGGTGGTTGTCGACCTTCCCATTTCCTAATCTATTTTCAAAAAGCAGTCAACCTTCCCTATACTTGGTATGGGACAGTTGACCCGTACTGCCATCTCCCATTTACCTCTAGTCTGAAGTACTTCTTCACCCTGTTAGAATCAGGTTTTCCTGCAGCTCCAATTGATTCAACAATCTCCAAATTCTTTTTCTGAGTAGTTAATCTCCGAGCTGCACCCTGAAGTACACCAAGATGTGAGATTCTACTGTCAGCATCAATAACAGCACAATAATTACCAGATTAAACAGAAACTGAATGTGCAAAAGATGGCAATTATTAGGACACTCACAGCAGCAGAGGCATCACGGCCAATCTGTGCAAACTGAAGACCAAAGCCTTGTTTACTGGCCAAAAAATGACCAGGAGGATAGCGGCTGCTTGAAACTGCCTGCCAGTTTGGAGTGGATCTCCACATACTTTGCTTGGTCAACTTGTAGCCCTGTCGGTACAACAATACCACAGCAGCCATATTATATCTACGGACCAAAAGCAGTTCACTAAACAGTAAACACAGTGAAACAAAAAATAAGAATGGTGAAATTAAAACATATTGCCTAATTAAGAAAGGGAACAGGGAAGGAAATACATGTTAATCACAATGTTAAACAGTCACGTTTCAAATCCTCTTCAAGAGGAAATTTCCCAGGAAAAGGGTTCTTCATATATATATATATATAATTACTGCCTCTATGCAATACAATTTTTAAAATGCGAGAATAAACATTTCCATCCCACACCATTTTTTTTCCTACTCAAGATTTCCAGAGAAGAAATATATAACAAGAATCACACATAATCATGTAATTGAAAGCTGCAAACATTTCAGCCCCAGCTGAGAAGCCAAAAAGTTACATGACATCGAGAAGTCTTCAGGTTCTTCTCTGAGACTTTCTCATTACTATATGAGTAAATGCAACTCCCAATAAATGTATGTCATCTTTCATTATTAGAAAGATACATCCCAATAAAAAAAGGCAACTAGAAGTAAAGTTTTGAAAAAAGAACCTACAAAGCACTTATACCTAAAGACCTGAATGCAACATCGTAATTTCGAAGAAGAAAAATGATTATAAGCCAAGAATCTCATCCATACTAGATTTTCCACAGTATATAACCCAAACATAGAACATTCTCACATTGCAGTGAAGGGCTAGATATTATATCCAAACTATAATAAAAAATTTGTACCTTGCTGCTTAAAGGCGATGTAGGAATTTCTATACCCAGAAAACAGCTTTTAGGGAAAGTTCCCTGTAAAACATCCCTGATAGCTGCCTTTATTAAAGGTAAACAGAGCTCTACTGCATCCTTGAAATCAGTCTCTTGACTTTCATCCTTCTTCCTGCAGCACGGTTGCAGGATATGGTACTAGTTCATAATCTCCAGCAGGAAAATACAGTTAAGCTGGAAATCATAAATAACAATAAACCTACCAATTTAATGATATTGACAAAGAAGGTACACCACATAATAACGCCTCTCTAGCCCCAGCAACAACACCTGAGTAGAACCTGGCATATTTTAAAGCATGAAATCAACTTCTTTTCATACTCAGGGCGCATGGAGGTTTTAATACAAAACCACAACAGACTATTATCAGGGGGATGCGGGGACTGTGTACTAGTATAGGTTTATAAGTTTAACT